GAGAGAGAGAGAGAGAGAGAGAGAGATGGCGCGGAACAAATCCAGCTGGCACGCAAATAACCGGGGTCCACACCGTTTCAGATTCGAATTTCAAGGCCCTGCGGACCGCACACCGTTTCAATTTTTTTTGGACTGCGGGGTTCCCAGGAAAACGCCACGGACAGCTACCGGTTCTGGATTTGCTTGAATTGCCGCCCCCCCCCAAATGCCAGTGCCGTTCATTTTACCAGCCTTTGAACGACCAATGGGCCCGAATGAACGACCGGTATAACGAACGACGACGAAAAATGTCTCAGGGGGGGAAAACGCAACCCTGACGGGCTGCGAATTACGGGGAACCCCGTAGCAGCCACATCCGTGCTCAAGTCTCCAACGAGGGAACATGCGGGAGCTGCACCCATCAGCAGGTACGATACCTGCTACAGCAGGTGGGCAATACCGGCCAGGGGTCAGCTGGTAACATCAAGACCGAGCTTCTTCGATGGGTCAGTCACTGTGCCTCCCCTCCGGTCCCCTCCCCTATGAACATCAGAAGTCTCTGCTCAATGCCAATCGGGGGGACCAACAACATATCTCTAGGTGGCGGGCGCCAAGCTTGCCCACGAAGGTACATGAGGCCAATGGGGATTGAACCCAAGACCTCCTGAATGCCACTTGCGTGCCTTACCAACTGAGCTAGGCCTCTGAATAAAATCATTCTGACTTACCTTGGCCATGTCAGTTAATTAATTTAATTGATGATGGCGTCGCTCGACCACTTCTCGACAAGCACAAAAGACAAAAATCATAGTGGTGTACATTTCCATGTTCTAGCGGAGGATTCAGTCTCGTTTTGCACATTTCGAGAGTAGTCGAGCGAGGCCCCATCTCTCAAACCGTCGCCCCTCTCAACTTTCTTTCTTTCTTTCTTTTTTTTTTTTTTTTTTTTTTTTTTTTTTTTTTTTTTTTTTTTTTTTTTTTTTTTTCCCTTACAAGGAACCTTTCAACTTTCAACTGTAGGCCAACTTCGCCCGTTGTCGGACGTGGAAATTAAAGATAGAATCAAGATGGGTCTCAAGCACGCCATCAGAGTGGATTGGAGGAGGAAGGCCAAGGCGGGAAGAGGCAGCAGGAGACAGAGAACCTGATTCCAACGCACATGGGCACGCCATGAGCGGTTGGCTGTGTTGCACCCAGAGTGGTCTGAGAATCTCAGACTGGGTGACGAAGCAGAGTCGCAAGGGAGATAGGTAGCACGGAAGTCTGCGACTTCAGGATAGGTAGGTAGTGGCAAGGCCACCTCGCTGGGGAGACCTGGGCACTCGGTTCCCACAGGGCAGAGTTAGTTAGTCAGAGTGTCTAGCGGAATCAGGACACTCGGTTCTTCAGGGCCACAGTGGGCCAGTTAGGAGACTGTCGGACTGCTGGGACCCAGGTCAAGGGACCGGGTCCGCTGGGCCGCCTTAGTCCCAGCTTTAGCATTAGCAGTAGCAGTTGTTGGAGTTAAGAGTCACAGGCCAGGAATCTGAGAGGCTACCTCCTGAACGCAAATCTATCTGAATTATTACCAAATCATCATGCAATGACTTAGTTCGCACTTGGAACTCTGTAGTGCAGGTTCCGCAGGCTACGGCCTGTAAGCTAAGCTGGCTGATGCTCTCAGATACCCCGGGTTGAATTGTGAGGTCCCCGGCCTCAGTTCTGATTTCCTTGTAATGAATTGAGTTTTTTGTTTAAAAAAAAAAAACTGTAGGCCAACTTTGCACCCGCGCTGCAAACTTTTGTGGAATCTAATCTAAGAATGACAAGAGCCCTCCTTCATTGCTGTTGAGGCCTAGTGTAGCGAACCAGGTCTGTTGGCAGCACGAGTGAGAGTGTAGTGGAGGGCGAGGGGGTGGGGGTGTGAGTGACGAAGCATGGCAGTGGAAGAGCGGAAGGGAGTACTGTGGACGGCTGACGCGGGGACCACCAGGGTCACAAAGACCACCACCGGATGAAAAGGAAGCCGACCGTTAGCCACGTGGCCTCCTCTCCAAATACGAACGCTTGCAATACAGTTAACTTCTGATTGATGATTAATAGGTCTCGGTCCCGACGATTGATAGGTCGCGGCTAAGTGTGCATAGCGCGCCGTTCTGTGAGCTCAGGTGCGCACGTGTCACCACCATTGGCTGGGGTCTGGGTGGACGATCAAGAGGCGAGTCGCGTTCTGATTGATTGATTGGAATCAATCGATTGATTGATTGATTGAGAGAGAGAGAGAGAGAGAGAGAGAGAGAGAGAGAGAGAGAGAGAGAGAGAGAGAGAGAGAGAGAGATGGCGGCGTCATCGGTGATGACGGTGCCACTGAAAAGGAAGAGAGAGGAAATGGAGGTAGTGGCTATGGCGACTAATGGCGGGAGGCGAGCAAGGGCAGGCGAGCAAGGGATAGGAGTTGGCGGCGAAGGAAGAGGAGGAGGAGGAGGAGGAGGAGGAGAGGGTGCGTTGGAGGCGGGGGGAGGTGGAGACGTGGATCTCGCTCTATTGGAGGCATTGGCGAAGGGGGAGGAGGGGGTTGATGCCGGCGGCCAAGCTGTAGACGTTATCGATGTGAAAGCGTTGAAGCGTCTGGTCTTATCTTTCGAGAAGAAGCTGAAGGAGAACTTGGAAGCGAGAATGAAATACGTTGACGCACCAGAGAAATTTTTGGACTCCGAGGTCGATCTGGATCAAGAGGTGAAGAAACTCCACGCCCTAGCTGCGGTACCCGAGCTCTACCCAGAGCTAGTCCGACTGAACTCCGTCTCCAGCATCTTAGGTCTTCTGAGCCATGAGAACACTGATCTCGCCATCGATGTCGTCAATCTCCTGCACGATCTGACGGACTCCGACGCTCTCGAGGATAACGAAGAACCCGCGCTGGTGTTGGTCAACGCGCTGGTCGATAATAACGCGTTGGAATTGCTGGTGCAAAACCTTTCTCGCCTCGACGAACGCGATCCCGACGAAGCCGCCGCCGTTTTCAACACCCTCGGGATTGTCGAGAACCTCGTCGAGGTCAATCCCCAGGTAACGGAATCCGTTTGCGAGCGGACCAAGCTGTTGCGCTGGCTGTTAAATCGTGTGAAGGTGAGGGATTTCGACAGCAACCGGCTGTACGCTAGCGAGATCCTGGCCATCCTTCTTCAGAACAGCTCTGTCAATCAGCGCCGAGTCGGCAATATCAATGGTGTGGACACTCTGCTGCAGGCCGTGTTTCAGTACAAGGGGAGAGACCCCAGGTCGACGGAGGAGCAGGAGATGGTAGAGAACCTCTTCGACGCGCTCTGCAGCGTCGTGTTGCCTCAAGAGAACAAGGAGCGCTTCGTCAAAGCCGAGGGTGTTCAGCTTATGATCCTCATCATGAAGAACAGGAAATTTGCCTACTTCTCTGCAATCAAGGCGTTGGATTTCGCGCTAACGAGGTGTACGTCGGCTTGTGAGGTCTTCGTCGATGTGTTAGGGTTAAAGACGCTCTTCGCGGCGTTCATGGGGAAAGTGCCGTCGAAGTATAAGAAGAGGAAAGGAGAGAACATCGAGAACGAGACGGATGAGAGGGTGATATCCTTGATTTGCTCCTTGTTATTGGGGGTGTCGAGGGGGTCAAGGAGAGACCGCCTCCTCACCAAGTTCGTCGAGAAGGAGTATGAGAAGATAGACAGACTGATGGAGTTGTATGTTAGGTTTACAGGGAAGGTGGAGGCGGAGGAGAAGCGGCAACAGCGATCAGCGGAGGGGGGAGGGAGAAGAGGAGGAGGAGGAGGAGGGGAGGAGGAATGGGAGCTAGACAGTGAAGAGAGGTACTTGACGAAGTTGGATGCAGGGTTGTACACGCTGGAACTGCTGGCGTTGATCCTGGCGAACATCTGGGCCGTCGATCATAGAGGGATGAGAGAGAGAATAATGATGCTGCTGCATCAGTACGGAATGAACAGAGAACATATCAAGAAAGTTCTACAAGAATATGTCGACAACATCGGTGATGCAGACGGTGAGGAGGAGAGGGATAAGAGAAAAGTAAGAGTGCTGAAATTGATCAATCACATGTAGTAGAGGAGATTGATGGAATCTTTCTGTAGAAACGAACAGCCAGCCAGCGAGCGAGCGAGCGAGCGAAGGAGAGAGAGAGAGAGAGAGAGAGAGAGAGAGAGAGAGAGAGAGTCTGCACCTTACGTACTGCTCTCATTCTCCCTCACATTCGTTCTTTCCTCTTCTTTCTTCCACTTTCATGTCATCTCCTCTCCTTTCGTTCCTACTTCGCGCTGCTCTGGTGATGACCCGTCTTCGTCACTCGCTCGCTCGCTCTCTGGGCATATCTCAGACATGGCCATCTCTCTCTCTCTCTCTCTGGTATTTGACACAGCCACAGAGAGAGAGAGAGAGAGAGAGAGAGAGAGAGAGAGAGAGAGAGAGAGAGAAAAGCCAGAGCAAGTAAATGACAGTGGAAATCAACTGGCAATCTTGCTCGCTTTCGTGATTACTAGTATCCATCAATGTCTCACTCACTCTCTCTCTCTCTGTGGGGTTTTTACGGGTGTCAATCGCACGTCTGTTTCTTTTCTCTCTCTCTCTCTCTCTCTCTCTCTCTCTCTCTCTCTCTCTCGTGGACCTTCTTCCACGTCCATCGTCATCGTAATCTTGTTGCTTTTCTCTCCCCCTTCTCTTCTCCTACCGGCCATGAAGTGTGGTTCTGGGTCCTGGAGGGACGAGCTCGATGTATGTAGACCGTTGAGGTGTGAAGTACATGATCTGGCGGCGTAGCTCATTGATCGCCAGCTCGACAGCATTGTTGGGGGAGGGGAGGGGAGGAGGAGGAGGGGGGGAAAGGAGGAGGAGGAGGAAAATAGGAGAGGAGGCGTAATGGGTGCCTGGCGGAATGCGGCGGAAAGTGGCGGAATGCGGCGGAATCCGCCGGCCCGACGAGGCGCGTTGTCGGCGGAGAATGTTCTGCAGAATGACAGGTGATTAGGTTGGTTGCTGCGGGCGGTCGGGACCCGGACGGGGTCTGGGGAACACAAGCGGTCCAACCAGACACGTGGCACCGAGGTAAGATCTAGACACGACACGTGGCAGACTGCTGTTAATTGATTAGAAAAACGACGAAACATAAAAGCGAAAAGAAATGGTAACGAACCAGACTTGCATGCAACAGATACCACAGGGTCAAATCTGCGACTGCCCTGAAAAAAAAAAAAACAAAAAAAAAAACGCCAACTGAATTGAGAGCCAAAACAAGAAAGGGTGTTTGTGTACGTACCTTATGAAAACCATAAGGCTAGTGATAATAGTAGCAGTTTTCCCAAAAAAAAATAAAAAATAGAAAATAATAGTCTCAGTCTTTGCCCGCGCAGAAGCTGTCGGGCCTCTCTCCACTACACGCACGACACTGTATTGGGACGTTTTCTGGACCAGGTGCATTTGAACCAGTCCAAACTTCGAACTTATGCGGTCCACAAAACAAAGCGTTCCGACGCATGTAGAGTGTTCCGTAGTGGAGCGAGGACCGTTTAGCTTTTTTTTTTTTTTTTTTTTTTTGGGGGGGGGGGGGCCATTTTTTTCGATTGATCCGTGTCATCCTTGCGCAGAGCCCATTTGCGAATTTACCCTTCTCTGTATCGCTCCAATTTTTAACGGATGTCCTGAAGGACTTGAGTTCGCTTGGTTGATTTTTTTTTTTTTTTTCTCCGGATCGTTGTGTTTCTTTTTTTTTTTTCGCGAAGACCTTGACTGATTTGGGAAAGAAAAAAAAAAAAAAAAAAAGGAACGCCATTTTATGACTATCCGTCTTAATCCGAATACAACGTGCGTTTATTACAGCTGTATTTGGGGCAACTTGAGTCTAGATACAGCAATACGAACCGCACGTTGTATTCGGTTGAAGACGGGTCATAAGTGCACCGCCCTCCCTCCGTTCGTTTCCTCCCCCTCCTCCTCTCCCCCCCCTCCCACCACCACCTCTTCCCCAACCAATAAAAAACGAAAAAAGAAAACAGAAAAAAGAAAAAAGAAAAAATGGCGATATATTTTTTAATGTTAATGATACGTTAAATTATTAATGATATTGTTAATAACTTTCTTGCTTTAGGACTGCTTACTTTTTGTAGGCGTCTTCCAAAAAATGTTGACTACTAAAAAAAAATAAAAAATAATAATAATAATAATTACCAACTGGCCTACCTTTCTTCCCCCGAATCCAACGTACGGTGATTATTATTTCTGTATTTATACTGAAAGATACCTCAAATACATACAGCTATAATGCCCGTGTGTTGTATTGGGGGGAAGAAGGGTAGTTCAGTTGGTACACCCCTGACCGGGGGCGAGGTCCCACTAGCAAAGAGGATTGGCTTGAAATGCCTGAATCTGGACGTGTATGAGGACAGATGCAGAAAACCCTGACTGATCTGCTTTTCTGCATCTGCGCCAAGAACCTATCCAGATTCAGGCTCCTAATTCGATCCTCTTTGCTAGTGGGACCCCGCCCCGGAACTATTGGTGAAATACAGACCTTGAGTTCAGAAGCAGATGATGTGCCGATTTTATTATTATTATTATTTTTTTTTTTTTTCGGGGAAGAAGGTGTCAATTCTAACTGCAGCTCGTTTGCTTTTTTTTTTTTTTTGTGTGTGTGTGTGTGTGTTTGTTTTTTTAGGGTTTTGCGCTAAACCCAAAATGGGTCTTCGTGTTTTGTCTCCTTATCGTTTTTCCTTACTTTGTGTCAATTTCTTTTTTTTTTCCCAAAATTCAGGAGGTTCCTTGGCTTCAGAAAAACGATCGAACCTGACCGGAAAAGGTTGTCGGCTTTGCTAATGAGCCGAAACTCAATGGATCTGGACACTTTTGGCCAGTTGATTCGTCGGCATCACCGAAATCGATGGGGTGGACCGCAGCCACGCCCGGAGGGAGGCTGCTTCTATGCGAATCCAACGGAATGTTTTTGCCAGGAAGACGAATCATCACGTCCCACCATAGCTGCTGCTTCATAAATCCATCAGGAAAGGCTGCTGAGAGAGGAGGAAGAGGAAGTGGAGTGGGAAGAGGAAGAGCAGGAGGAGGAGGAAGAGGAGTGGGAAGAGGAAGAGCAGGAGGAGGAAGAGGAGGAGGAGGAGCAAGAGGAAGAGGAGGAGGAGCAAGAGGAAGAGGAAGAGGAGGAAGAGGAGGAGGAGGAGGAAGAGGAGGAGGAGGAAGGTGAAGAGGAGGAAGAGGAGGAGGAGGACGGGGAGGAGGAGGAGCAGGAGGAGGAAAAATGATTTGCAACAGAGGAACGCAAGGAGAAGGATGAGCTGTTACTTCTTCATGAGCTCATGGTCGTGGTGGTCGTGGTGTGTTTTTGGCGGGAAATTGATTGTATCTCTGCTCCGGGCAGAGAGAGAATCGAGCTTTCGTAGGCCGCGGTGGTGGTGGTGGTGGTGTGTTTTTGGCGGGAAATTGAGGGCAATCCTGATCATGTTGTAATGGATAAGGCATCACGACACAGCTATGGCTCGCTGATCGTGGATGCCTGTTATTTCCAGTGACTACATACATGGAACGTTCTTTCACGTGATTAATGAAGGGAGCATTCAATCAAGGGGAGACAAAGCAATCTGAGTAAGGATGCAATTACTTGTGGAGGAGTCACTGACCGATGGATTGATTGGATTGATTGATTGGAATGATTGGAATGATTGGAATGACTGGTTGGTTGGTTGGTGGATAGGTTGCTTGATTGATCACGCCAGGCAAGGAAGCGAACCAATCATCGGTTGATGGTTGGACCTAATCAGTCAATAGTGCAGTTAAATCAACCTTTTATCCATCCATCCATCCATCCATCCATCCATCCATCCATCCATCAATCAATCAATCAGTCGTTTGTTTGACCTACCATCAATCAATCAATCAATTGATTCAATCAATCAATCAATCAATCAATCAGTGGTTTGACTGTCAATCAACCAATCCATTGATCTGTCAATGGAACGAAGGAAGTAGCGGCTGACAAAACGGATGATGGATGATGATTGGCATCAGCTTTGCGCTGAGCATAATAGCTTGGACGAGTGCATTGTGATAGGTGTCTTAATGGATCACGTGGTCGTGGATTGGTCTCTGTTGATTGTGGAAATTCTGCGATACAGCTAATGTTGAACCATTTTCTTCGGTAAATAGCATAGATTGATGGAGATGGATGGATGATTGTTTGAATGGATGGTTGGATGGATGGATTGATGACACGTGGCAACTGCTCGTTGATTGATTGATTGATTTAGGGATTGATTTAGGGATTGATTGGTTGATTGGTTGATCGATTGATTGGTTGATTGATTGATCGATTGATTGRTTGATTGATTGATCGAGTGATTGATTGGTTGATTGATTGATCGAGTGATCGATTGGTTGAGTGATTGATTGGTTGAGTGATTGATTGGTTGAGTGATTGATTGGTTGATTGATTGAGGGATTGATTGATTGATTGATTGATTGATTGATTGATTGATTGAGGGATCGATTGGTTGATTGGTTGATCGATTGATTGGTTGATCGATTGATTGGTTGGTTGGTTGATTGATTGATTGATTGATTGATCGATTGATTGGTTGATTGATTGATTGATTGATTGTAAGAGGTGAACTCTTGCTCCTGCCGCTGCTGAGGCTGAGGCTGAGCTTTGCACGACAGTGGCTATGGGCTGATGTTCTGGAAATAGTGACGGAGTGTGCCGGTGGCTTTGGGTTGATGTGGAGTTCATGACAAAAAATATGGCCTGATACTGACCTCTGCATATGCATTCTTTCCGTCGTTATTTTATGATGATCACACATGCCACCTGCTCGGTGTATCGCAGAGAGGTGCAGGTTGGTTTGTCATCCAATGCATGCATGCATTCGTTTTCTCTGTTTTCAGATGGGTCTGAATCTCTGAGCAGTACTGCTATACCGCCTGTACACGGTCGCAGCCTTGTCGAAAAATGTGTTCGTCACCTACTCCGAAAATTCTTTAGCTGCGCGCCAAGCTTTTCCGGACCACGATGGCTGGCACCGCCAGCCAAAAAAAGGGAAAACAACTTTAAGCAAGTATGGCCCTGTGGGTCCAGAAAAGCTTGGTGAGCAGTGCAGGGCGTGCAGGCCCGGGTGTAGTCGGAGAAGAAAGGGAGTGAGGTAAGGTGAGATAGCAGGCGGAGGTGGAAGAGAGAAAGCTGGAAAGAAGAAGATCGCGGGCGACTCAGGGTGAGGGGAGAAAGCGGAAAAGGAGCTCGGTAGGAGTGAGGGCCAAGGGATAACAAAAAATGTGGGTGTTTCTGCTGAGAATCAAAGGTAGATCACAGGCTGTGGGCCTCTCTGCGCTACGCGAGCCGTAGAAGTGGATTTTGCAGAGTGTAAAGAGGGAGAGGAAAACCGTCTTGTAGCTGGAAGAGGAGAGGGAGGAGGTTTGAAATGAGCAGGCGAATGGGGGAGTTGCAAGAGGTAGACCATGGAGACGAGCCAATTGATGTACATTATTTTTATTTTGCTATTTGTGATACCTGATGCTCTGATCCGATTTCCGGATTCCTGAGCATCTCTCTCTCTCTCTCTCTCTCTCTCTCTCTCTCTCTCTCTCTCTCTCTCTCTCTCTCTCTCTCTCTTTTTTTTTCTCTCTCTTTTTCTGTCTTCCTCTTTTTTTTTTTTTTTTTTTTTTTTTTTCGTTATTTCTTTTTTTTCACAGGCCCCACATTTTCCACAACACCTTTGCGTGGATAGGAAGAGCTAACCTCTTTATGGCATTGCCCATCTGCTGTCCTGATTGACCCCAATTGACGACGCTGTTCATCGAGAGTCTCTCTCTCTCTCTCTCTCTCTCTCTCTCTCTCTCTCTCTCTCTCTCTCTCTCTCTCTCAATAACAACTTGCATGCCTTTTTCTGTTTTCTTTCTTTCTTTGAACTGCCACTACACAGGCCCATCCTTGCCGAAAAAGAAACTCTTCACCTACGAAAATTTTGGAGGCTCGGCCTACCAGACCACAACTTGAATGGCCGGCGGCGCAAGCCGAAATAGGAAAAATCTGTGCCTCTGGCGATTCGGGAAAGCTTGGCGCACAGTAAGGCACCTGCAGGCCCGGGTGTACTGGTGGTTTAAACGACAACTTGCATGTGGAACAGTCTGACTATCAGCACCCTTGTGTCGTGCGGCTGTCTCTTTTGGCAGTGGCACAGCAAAGACAAAAAAAAAAAAAACTCTGTCCGGCGCCTTCCTCCTTGTCAGTGCTGCCGCTTATGTCATCCTCGTCTTCCGTGCCAGCAGTTTTGCTAGCAGAGGGTTGAGGAAGGGGGGGGAGAGAATATAGCGCCCTTCGACTTACCGTGTGGATTTCCCCAGTTTGGATAGGTGTGAGTGGCTCACCTACTGTTGCCCCTTTCAGCACCATTTTTTTTTTTTTTTTTTTTTTTTTGGGATGAATGCTCCAGTCTATTCGTGGGGAGCAACACGTGCTGGGAACCGGGCCCAGCGTCTGGTTTGAAATACCAGGGCCATTACCTGGCTTCGGCTAGGAACAATCTGAGAACTTTGAAGAGATTCTAGAAAATTTAGGAAAAGAAGACATGGGTAATTGCTAACCGCTTACCCTTCAACTTATCGAGCTATAGTATAAAATTGCAAAATTTGCGAAAAATTGCAGGGCAGATGGGTAATCTCTCTCTCTCTCTCTCTCTCTCTCTCTCTCTCTCTCTCTCTCTCTCTCTCTCTCTCTCTCTCTCTCTCTCTCCTTTTTTTTTTTTTTTTTGGACAAATCTCCAATCTATTTGTGGGGAGCAACACGTGCTGGGAACCGGGCCCAGCATCCCATATAGAATTACACAAATGATTTGAAATACCAGGGCCATTCCCTGGCTTCGGCTAGGAACAATCTGAGGACTATTAAAGGAGTTCAGGAAGATTTAGGAGCCCCTTGTTCATGGTTGTCCCTTGTGTTTGCATCTTGTAGATTTGTAATTCTCAGTCCTCTTTATTAAAAAATTGGGCTTTTGTAAGCCCCCCCTGCTTTCCCTTTTTTAAAGGGGCAAAAAAAACACCCTGGAGGACCGACTCTACGGTAACCACCCACATCTCTGAGCATGTGGAGATATGTCCAAATTGCTGCACTTTGTGCCGAAAGGCTCGCAAGAGTTGGGGTCGTGTACAAAATACAGGTACAGGCGGGTCCTGCGGTATATCATGAAGGGCCGGAGAGAAAGCAGCACTTGGGTGAAAAGTGAAACGAAGATTGACGACGAGGGACATATATAAAAGAGTCTTCATTTGGCGCCTTCCATCCTCTTCTTCGCTGCCTATGCGGTTGTCCCATCAAAGTTGAAGATTACAGGTTCAAATCCTGTCCTTGCTTTCTTTTTCCTTTCGAGTGTTGTGTTCACTAAGTTAACTTCACTGCCTATTCTGTTTGGACGATCTTTATCTCCCGCCTCGAGCTCAGCTTGTTGCCTCTTTCGTTCCACCTCGAACACCGGGTGGCTTTCTTTTCCTCGTCAGCGTAGATAGCCGCTGGCACACCAAGGGCGTATTCTTTTTTCTGTTACCATAGCCGATGTTCACTTGTTGCAGGATATGCACTTCCTAGACCGATTCCTTGTGACCACGCGCTCACCTCTAGCATTCTCTCTCCTCCCTACCTCCCTACTCCTATTTCTCTATAACTCCACTCTTCCCCTCTTCTCATGTCTCCAGACCCATGCCCACATGGAGCAGGGAAAGAAGAAGGAAACCTCAGGCTGTGCAAGATGAGACGCATCAGGACGTGAGTGGTTGGTTGACATGTGGCATGGGTAGGTGCTGACCTGGTGCGCTCGGATGTGCCCCCCTGTGATAAGTCTGTACTACCATCTTCACCCGAACAGAGCGCCCGATCATTATCGCTGCATCTGGATTCTGGACTGAAAGTTGGGCCAAAAATGCAGCTAGTATAATGCCTGGGCGTTCTCTTTGGGTGAAGACGGTAGGGTAAGAGCTACGCCAGACACAACTGAACCTAGGGCCATAACAGTACTAGGGTGACAACTACGTCTGGACCTGGGACCCAGGACCTATACCGGGAGCCCGTTCCTGCGGCTCCATAAGTAGGTGCCAGCTACAACTGGACCTAGGGCAAGAGGGCAAGAGCTACGCCAGCCCAATCCAGCACCTGGAGCCTGTTCCACTACCTTGATAAGTTTGTACTCGGGTGAGAGCTATGCCGGCCACAACTGAACCTAGGGCAAGTACCCATGTGCACGCACGAGGAGGATATCCAACCAAATCGCCGTATATATCGGTACCATGTGATCTATCTGGTCCAAATCGGACTCGAACCCTGAACCTCTTTTTTAGCTCAAACCCACTGAGCTACGACAACATCTGGTCGTCGTATGCCCCGCCAGTGTACTAGACCGGGGGACAAGCACCTGCGGTGCCAACCTAGCACCAACTCATCATGCACGAGGGAGGAGCCATAGAATCAAACCCACAACCTCCCCGTTGCAACGCCAGAGCTTTACCCACTGCGTTTGTCCCATGCAGTAAGTCAGTCCCGGTTGTGTGTTATCGACAACGAACATCTCGGGAGGTTGTAATAAACTTCGAAAATTAGCGCTCCATAACTGCGGACGATTGCTTTCTTGCTTGCTTCAACGACAGGAGGGAGGGAGAAGGGAGGGAGGCATGGGAAGTCTTGAATATTTGTTTTCGCTTCCTCCCAGTGTAAACTTTTTTTTTTTTTTTTTTTTTTTTTTATAGAAAGGCCCTTCTTGGCCTTCCACGGTCAGTTGCGGGGTAGATCCCCAGTGAGTCAGGAATCACGGTGCTATGCACTCTGCTTCTGTACTTGACCTTGATGCCCAGGGGCGCAGCCGGGAATGAACCCTGGGCAGTCCCAGCGCCCCCCCCCAAAAAAAAAGAAAAAAGAAAAAAAAAACAGAAAAAAAAAATTGCTGCGTAGTATTGCAATGCAATTTATGCAAACGGTTTTTGGCTGAGGGTCACATTGAAATTCCTCGTGGAATCCGTATTATTATTTCTATTGTGCTCGTCCTCTCCGGATTCGGGTGCGGTGCCGGGTTTTAAGGGCCATCGGCAGGAGCAGCAACCAAGTGTCCTGAGCTCGCGCTGCTTTTTGACGAGTTGTTTGGGTTCCTATGTGTTTGGGATGCGGGTGGGAAAGACTCGGGCTGGCGAGATCGCCGTGCATGCAAGCCGGTGGGTGATTAGCCTACGAGGCGGAGAAACAAAACTGAGTGGCGGGGCCCCGTTTTGTAGGTGCATCGGCCGCAGGCCTTGACTGCTGCAAGAAAGCGGTGAGCATGCCGGTTGGGACCCGAAAAGGACAGACAGGGCCTTGGCAGAGCGGCCCTAGGCGCGGGGGCAGAGCCCGCGAGTGCATGTAGCCTGTGCCCATTTCGGGCCTTAAGGTTCCGATTTTGGGTATTTGCTACCACCACCAAGATCTGCACCGGGACCCACGTTACCCAGGCCGTGCTTCAGGCAGGACAGCAGGACCGTGCCCTTGAACCCGTGTCCTGCTGTACAGAAGAAAAGGGCGAGTGGCCCTTGGAAGCGCCGCGGGGCATTGCCCGAACGTGTCCTTCGGAACATCCGTTAAAATTGGAGCGATCCAGAGAAGATTAGCATGGCCCCTACGCAAAGATGATGTAAGAGTGTCCGGGAGTGAACCCGGACGCGAATTAGGCTAGGCGGGGGGGTAAGGCAAAAGGGGCGTGGGGCTTTGACGCCACTATGACGTGTTGTCGTGGGCGCTGTCCTTCGGGACATCCGTAAAAATTGGAACGATACAGGGGAGATTGGCACGGCCCCTGCACAAGGACGGCACGTATAAACGGACGGGGTCCGACGGCCGCACGGTTGTTGCTCGGCAGTCAGCAGCCTGTCGGACTGCGCAGCCGCAGAAGGGCCGGGTGACGTCAACAGGTGGGCGGGGAGGATGAACCCGGCTGACGAACC